TCTCATCGTATACTCGCTCCTCTCATCGCTCTCTCTATCTCTCTATCTACTCCCTCTCTGTATCTCTCTCCACTCTATAGTCTATCTCTACATATACAGATAATATCCCTCTACCTATATCTTTACCTTATATATTCATATGCGCCTGTATAGAGATATATCTATCTATATAGATTATCTCTCCTATCTACTCTATCTATCTATATCTATCTATCTCTCTCTCGCTGTCTCTCTATTCCTGTCTCTCCTCGTTCTCTCTCTATTCTACTCTCTTCTATGTCATCTCTATCTCTTCTCTCTTCTCGATCTACCCTTCTATCTCTCTTCTCTCCTCTCCTCCCTCTCTCTCTTCCTCTCTCTCTCTCTCTCCTCTCTCGTCCTATCTCTCTCTCTCTCTGCCTCTCTGCTCATTCTGTCTCTCTCTCTCTCCTATCTCCTCTCTCTCTCTCTCTATTTCTCTGCTCTCTCTCTTCTCTCTCTATCTCTCCTCTATCCTCTCTCTCTCTCTCTCTCTCTCTATTTCTCTCTATCGCTCTCCTTCTCTATCTCTCTCTCTCTCTTCTCTCTCTCTCTCGGCTCGCTCTCTCCTCTCTCTTCTTCTTCTCTCTCTCTCTACTTATCTTCTCTAGACTATATTGATCCCTATATCTATCTCTCCCTCTCTCTCTCTATCTTCCTCTCTCTATCTATCTACCTCTCTATCTCTCTAGACTATCTCTCTCTCTCTCCATCTCTCTTCTCTCTCTCCCTCTATATCTCTCCTCTAGCTATTTATTTCTCTCTCCACTCTATATTTATCTCTGTTCTCTCATATCTCTATCCCTCTATCTCTTCTCTCCCTCTCTACTAGCCATCCTATTCTCTCTCTCATCCTATATCATCCATATCATGCTATCTATTCTCTCGCTATCCTATATATCTATATCTATCTATCATTACACTCTCCTATATCTATCCCTCTAATATCTCTCTCTCTCCTAGCTCCTATCTCCCATACTCTCTCTCTACCTCTCTCTCTTATACCTCTCTATCTAGGTATACCTAGATATATCTATACCTCTACATCTATATTATACCTCCTCATCTATATATACCTACTCCATCTCTATCACATCATCGCTCTATCGCTCTCTCTATACTATTCTCTCCCTCGATCTATCTCTATATACATATATCTCTATATCTCTCTCTCTCTCTCTCTCTCTATCTCTCTTATCTCTCTTCTCTCTGTCTCTATCTGTGTGTGGTCTTCTCTCTCTCTATCTCTCTCTCTCGCTCTCTTCTCTCCTCTCTCTACTACTCTTTCTCGTCATATCTCTCTGTCTCTCTCTCATGTTCTCATCTCTCCTGTCTCTCTCTCTGTCTCTCTCTTGTTATCTCTCTCTCTGTATCTCTCTCTGTATCTCTCTCTGTCTCTTTCTCTCTGTCTCTCTATCTTCTCTCTCTCTGTGTGTGTCCTGTCTCTCCTCTCTCTATCTTCTACTCTCTCTTCTCTCTCTCCTCGTCTCTCTCTCTCTCTCTCTCGCTCTTTCTCTCTCTCCTCTCTGTCTCTCTCCTTATCTCCTTCTGCTCTCTCTCTCTCTACTCTCTCTCCTCTCTCTCTCTCTCTCTCCTGTGTATCTCGCTCTCTCTTGTTCTTCTCTTCTCGCTGTGTCTCTCTCAATCTCTGTCTCTCTCTCTCATCTCTATCCGTCTCTCCGGCTCTCTGTCTCTCTCTCTACTACTCTCTATCTTTACTATCTCTTTCTCTCGCTCTCTCTTCTCTCTCTCTACTCTCTGTCTCTCTCTCTCTTGTGTCTTCTGCTTCTCTCTCTCTCTCTCTCTCTATCTCTCTCTCCTCCTGTGTTCTCTCGTCTCTGTTGTCTCTCTCTCATCTCTCGCTCTCCTCTCTCTCTATTCTCTCTCCTCTCTCTCTCTGTGTCCTCTCTCTCTCTTCTATGTGTCTCTCTCGTCTCTCGTCTCTCTCTCTCCTCTCTCTACTCTCTCTCTCTCTCTACTCTATATCCTCTCTCTCATCTCTCTCTCTCTCTCTCTCTGGTGTCATCTCTCTCTCTCTGTGTATCTCTATCTCTCCGCGTTTCTCTATCTCTCTCGCTGTGTCTCTCTCTATCTCTGTGTCTCTCTCTCTCTCTCTGATGTCTCTCTCTCTCGCCGGTGTCTCTCTCTCTTCGCCTGTTATTCCTGCCTTCTCTCGTCTTGTCTCTCTCTCTCTTTGTGTGTCTGCATCTCTCTCTAGCTCTCTCTCTCTCTCTCTCTCTCTCTCTCTCTCTCTCTCTCTCTATCTCTCCCTCTCTTTCCCCGTGCGCCCCGCCTCCCCTCGTCCCGCCTCCCCTCTCGGCACCTCACCGCCCCCCTGTAGTGCCCCTGCCTTGTCTTGCTCTTCTGCCCATTGTTCTTTGCCCACCTGGCTCCGCCCTGAAGCCCGCTCCCTCTTCCTGCCTTTCTTTGCGCTTCCCCTCCTCTCTACCGCCTCCGTCGCGCCTCTCTCGTCCCTCTCTGGCTTTGTTTACCTCCTTTCCGAGCTTCTAGGTCCATTCCGCTCTTCTCTCTCTAGTGCCTTGTGTCTGTCCTGTGTGTTGTCTCTTCCATGCTCTTCCGTTCCTCTATCCCTCGTTTCTCTCACCCACAGGCTGCCGATGCATCTTACACTATATTATATTGTTAAACTTGTAGATGAAGTAAATGTATGGCAACTTGATCAGTATTGTTAATTTCTCAGGTTCTGTAGTATGCCCAAAATCTATAAATTAAAGGCATAGATCACAAATTCACATAATTTAGTAAGAAAAAAAAAGATAATTGAGGATAATTTTCCCAGTGCTTCTACAGATCAAGTTGCTCTACACTCTTTGATCTAATTCTAGAGTTGACCAAAAAATACACATCCAACAGACAGCTTTCTGGCATTGCAGTTTAGGTCATGACCTCAGCACTGTCTAAAGCATCTAAGAACTTGGCATACAGAAAGCATGATACCATTCACTTTGCCACTCATCTCACCTGATCTCCTTCAGCTTCTTCGAACATAAACTCATTGCAAAGCTACAGGAAAATGCAAGAATATCAGTCTTAATTAAATCCCTGGCGAGAGGCCGTAATCTCAGGACACTTGTTAGAAAAGAGCAAAATGAGAGAAACTCAATATACACAGAATGCTTTCTCCAGCAGTAGCCTAGAAATCATATGTAATAAATAAACAAAAAATACATGAATAAATAAAAAATAAATGAAATGCAGTTTATCTATTTCTATACTGTCTAATCACAACATATTTAGCATAATCTTCTAATACCCTTTAACTCTGTACAATGTTGAAATTAATTTAAGAAAGAAAAATTTATATGGTTAGTTCCCAATTATTACAGAACAATTAACCATAGACATAACCTTTGATGTTCTAATTAATAACTGAGAATCTTAAGACCTAGTTAAATAAAATTAAAACTTAACCTATGATTGTGCAGTACACAATGCTTCCTATCTAAGCAAGGCAAATACATGCAGACGCATTAGACAAGACAGATAATGCAATGCAAACAATATCAGAGGAGTTGAAAAGCACAAAGAAAGACTTCTCTATCAAATTCATAAAGAGAACAATATCAAGAGTGGCATTTAATATTTCCAGAGAGGATTATGACATTCACTTCAAATGGATGAATGAATAAGATTTTATCAATTTGCAACTTATTCTGAATAAAGAAATATGAAACAATAATCATAATAATAACAAAAATAACATCACAATAAATAATAATCAATAACCCATTAGTATAAAAAAAACACACAGAAAATACTTATGGGTAGTAAACTTTGGACAGTAATTATGAATCAAACTGATGACATGCCTTGAATCATGTCAAATATATCAGGCACATAAACCACTTATTCCTGCAACATTCCCAGCAAGCCTGGTTATTACTTTAAAGTTTCATTCCTCTTATGGAATTTAAAGCTAACATTCAGTAATGAACAGCATTCAACATGCAGTCACAAGATGCTAACATATTAACATCCAATATGAGGTAATGACACTGTATCTGTTGCAAATTTTGAATGTATCTTGTATGAAGTCTCAGTCAATTGTTTCATCAAATGTTTTCATGCATGATCTTGAGAATTATTACTCATTCTAATATACGGATTTGAGAAACAATGTATTGTAGCAAATAAATCTTTTAACGCTCATGAGCTAGATATACAGAGTATACATAACTTACATTTAATACAGATTTTTCAGCTATGAGAAATGTTTTACAAAAAATGTGATTTATATATTCATAGAAAATTTGAATAGGTCTTTCTCTCATGTTTGCACTGTCTTGTTCTAAGTAAAGACTTATATAATCTCAAGTAATATTCTTAAGCCTGAGAAATTGCCTGAGAAAAAAAAATTATCCATACTCTCAACCAACATGCTTTAAGCTTTATCATTCTCAATGTCCTTATCTTGCCACCATTCCCTACCAATAAGCTTTGTGCTTCAGGCTTTATGTTGCAGGGAATCATGCTAAACAATCTTACATGCAGCTTTTTTCTAAGGTGCCAAATACTTAATAGTATTAAAATACAATTATATATATACTTTTCTTTCTATTCATGCAAGACTTTAATAAAAGACTTCTACAATAATACTGATATTGCAACAAATATGACAGTAAAAGATATATTGTTGTTAAAAGACAACAATTTTCTATAAATGGGAGTAGAGCATCACACTGTCTGAAACATCAATATGAGTTAATTTGTTCTTTATCACAGAATGAAAAATAGAATGAAATAGGGTATGTGAATTACAGTTTTTCTTCTTTTCTTGTTTTAATTACTTATAATACTGATTCTATGATTAATCCTCCTTTAGAAACTAAAGATCACTGAAAAACATGCATGAATAGGAAATAAAATTCCAACAAACTTCCACAGCTAAAAGATTACCAATGTAACTTTAATTGCCACAAATACATGAAATAACAAATGAATAAGCAATCTGTGGAACTTACAGATGTAGATGAAGCATCCCTTCGTGTGGCTCTTTTGCTCCACTGGGTCGCCGTCCTGGACATGATGATGTTAGTGCGCTGGGACATGCTTACAACTTGAGCTTCCAGGTCACTAGGAATGGAGATATTATGCTTGCGAGCTAGAAGTAAAAGCAAAAGTCTTTAGTCTCTTCTTGTATCTAGAAGTGTTGATCTTATATCTGAAAACTTACAAAATCACAATTGCCAGTGTTAAAATAATTTAGGGGTTAATTTCTCAAAAATGTACTTAGACTAACAGAATATCCATGCCTTCCTCATAAAAATCTAGTTTCGTAGCTGCTAAACTACAGAAACTTCCTTTAAATTGTCAAAGGACTCACATGACAGAAAATATATAAAATAAATAATTATGAAAACAAAATAAAGTGAAAAAAGTCCCATTTGGACAATGTTGACTTCTTCTCATTAAAGGAAAAAGTAACATTCTAATATACATATTTCACATAGCTTTGAACAACAATATAAAGCAATAAGGCATAAAAAAATAACACCAGACAGAGATAAGACAACATCTCTGGAGATATAAAATATCCTAAACAAACTTCTAAGTAGTGAAAAAAAAAATCATTAACCCTTTTATACATGCCTCAATTTGATAGAAAGAAAAGAGCTTAAAGTGAAATGAAACAAAAGCCCACAAGATGAAAAAAAAACTATAACTAACTTACCAACTTCAGTAAGAGTTTTTATACAGTTCTCTACATTGACCCTCTGGTGTCCCAAGACGGCTTGGCTGACTCTGTACACATGGTGGAGCAGTTGCACAAACACTGGCTGCCGTGT